CATATACATACATGTGTACATATATACATGTATACACACACTCGCAATCAGAACTAAATGAAACTGATTGATAGTTTTTGTATTTAAGGACTTTTTTTAGGAATTGGAATTACAAATTAACTTTTGGGCCATGTCTCTGTGATAACAAAACAATGAGCAACTCCAGTCTAAAAAGAATTGATCTAATCAGTAAAGGAAATAAAACTACTTTGTGTCATAAAAAAAACAGATTATTGATTTTTTTCACTTTTTTAAATGACTGTTTTGTGGTCAAGTCCATATGGCCTCCTTTGTAATTGCTGCTCCAGTGAATGCGCCATTCTTCTTTCCCCCTCAGAACCTGTGCTACTTTTGTTCCCTCCTGGAACACATTCGCCTCTCCCCTGTACCTGTCTGCTACCTACATACTGCCCATACTCCCAGGCCTCTTAAGGTCTTCTCCATCTCCCTGTTCTTTTGAAAATTGTTAGTTTATATTTGATCTTCTATCCACTGTGTGTTGGGAGTCACCACTGAAGTTTTAATGGTTCCTTATATATTTTAAATGTTGAGTTTTTAATCCATCTTTACTATATTTTCTCCAGTCTTTTATCTTTCCTATTATATTGTTTATATTGTATAGATTTTTAAAAATTTAATGTATTTAACATATCTTGTCTCAAGTAATTCTTTCCATTTTTTAATGAGAAATAATTCATCTCCCCACTGTAACTGAGATAAATAATTCATTGTTCCATTTTATTTCATCCTTTTATAGGACTTTTAAAAGTGTTTGTCATCCAGCTGTGATTGATATTGAGGCATATTACAGAAGATGTGGGTCTTATTTATCTTTGTATCCTCCATAATACCAACTATGTTATATATATGTGCAGTAGGTACTTATTGAATGTTAGTTTCCTCCTACCTTAACCCAGGACTCTGCCCCTTGGAAATGTGGTGCCTGAAAAATTCCAAGAAACATAGTTTCTGAATAATTTAATAATTTTATTAATAATGCCAGCGTGTTTATTAAGAAAAGAGGGTAATTTGGCCATCTCTCTTAGACCAAAGACCCCTATGGCAGTGGATGACCTTCAAAGAGTAGGTATTCCTGAGGGGTGCCAGTCAAACTCTGATTGCTTAACACAATGGAAGGTGGACTATATTAAAATGAGAGTCTTGGGCTGTGTATGTAACTTGGGTCACCCAAATCTTGGTCAAAGAGGCATCCATTTTTGTATTACCTATCTTGACAAAAGGGAGAATCAACACTTTCCCAGAGCAAACATAATGAGTAGGAATATGCCCATTAACCCAAACTTAGAATTTCTGTTACTTTTTGATGGATCTCAGCCTGGGTAAATTTTTAAAAGAGATTTCCCACATTGGTTGGTTTCTGGATGAGGAAGTAAGAAAGGGGAAAACCTTGGTCTAATGCAGTAATTAGTTATTAAATACAGGAGAGAAATATTCATTTCTCACATAAGGCTAGCTCTGATTGTTGAGCTTTTGTCTTAGGTTGGCCAGAACCTGGCCTCCTTACCGTTTTGTGTTCTCATGAACTATTTAGAACCTGATTCTGTCATTGAGTGTATTGAATATATATGCCTTCCAACTGTGCATCATTTGAAATTTTCATAAAAAGTCTCTCGATATCTTTATCCAGATTATTGATAAAAATATCAAGTAGAATAGGATTGCTCCCTTGCTACTCCACTGGAGATCTCAGCATTTCTCTAACTTACCAGTCCAATTATACAGTCAAAATAAGAAATAATTTTAGCTGGGTATAATCTGTTCTTAATGAGGGTATGTTGGCTCTTAATGATAAGTGTTTCTTTTTATAAATGATCACAAACTATCTTAAGTGGTACATTTTAAAATTAAAGCTTCCTGATCTATAGCTTGCAGATTCTTCTCACTTCCCTTTTTTGAAAATAAAGGACATTTACCCTTCTCCAGTTCCATGTCATTTATAACCATTCTTCACGGTCTCTTGAAGATCACTGACCCTGGTTCAGCAATCACATTTGCCCTAAAAATTCAACCAGGTCTGACAACTTTAACGGAGGCCAGTTAGATGCTCTTTTACCACGTCAAGTTTTACTTCCTTAACCATTTTATGCTATCCTTCTGAAGCCAGAGATCATTTGCTTTGCTTAAGAAAACAAAAGTAAAAGAGTCGAGTAGGTCTGTCTTTCCTCTTCCATTATCATGCCCTTCTTTGGTTGATCTTCTTCCTCCTCCAGGTCCCTCTTGGTCTTTAAAATTCATCAACAGCATTGCTTCATTCAGATCTTTAACCCTTCTGAACCCATTGTGTAGAATTCTTCTCTTTTGTACTGATCATCAGTTATATGTTCTTACTTCCATCTTCTGCACTCTTTTTTGGAAAATCTAAGTTGGTCAATGAATTTTTTTTAGCATTGATACGGTTTCTTTATACAGTTTTACTTTTTTTTTATTTTTCAAAAAAATTTTTTTTGGTCAACTGAATTTCTCCAAGTTCAGGTGACATTTTTCTCTCCTGTAACAAACGCTAAGATGGCATGGTCACTTTACTTCAAGTTATGATCATTTCTACTTTAACAGCCTTTCCTTACTTATTGATCAGCATCAGGTCCACAACAGCAGCTCTTTAACTTTTTTATTCACCTTTTGAAGCATGAGTAATGTTATTGATATAGAATGAAATAGTCATTAATCCAAGAATTATCAATCATTGAAAATCAGATACATTTACTACCTCATCCACATTTGGTATTAATTATTAAATTACCAAAAGAAAAGTACTTTGATATTGGTTTTATAAAAGATACTACACAAAGTGTGCTAATCTTTGTTATGTGGAATTTAGATATTCAAATCACCAAAATGATTAGATAGCAACTTAAAGATGTGGAAGTACCTTGTCTAGATGAGCCAGATTTTCCAGATTTTTTTTGGTATGGTGAAAGCAGTACCCAAAAAGCAGATTTGAAGACAGCAATGCTGAAATTCAATTTTCACTGAAATCCTTTAGCTAAGGTATATTTAACTGTTTGTGAGAAAAGCATATTAATATGATTCTGGTGTATCACTTGTTCAAGTTCTTGGACATAGAATACACAGAGAACCCCTATTTGTAATAATATCAACTATTTGCAGTGGTATATGAATATATATAAAATATGTGATTATATAACATGACTATACATAATACAAAACATATATGCATAATAATGAATATATGGGGATATATAATGCAGATTTGTTATATATGGAGTTATAAATGTACTTTTCATTCATAAGAGATATAACAGCTACATAATACTATTACTCAGCTGATACAGCATCTAATTGCCCCGAATTGAGATCATGAACAGCAATTGTTTTTGTTAAAAGATTGTAGTAACCTTGAGAAAATGAAAGAGCCCAACAATGAATTTAAATTCCAGTGTGTTGCATACCACCTAGCACCAGGGGATTGACTAGATAATTTCCTGAACTTCCTGTGACTCTCCCAGACTCTCGAAGCAGCTAGATGTCGTTCATCCATTGGCAGTGCCCCTTCATGGATGCTTTTATTGTTCTTACATTAATCTAGGCCCTAGATTCTAGGAGATCGTGTCTGCATCATTTCACCAAAGCTCATCTGTCCTCATCCCACTTGTTTTTGCCATTATTAATATATTTAGTCCTATGCCTCATGCAAAAACATGCTTATGTAAAGCTTTAATCAAATTACGATGGTATATCAAAGCAGGTTTATATAAACATACATGGCATGTACTTTACTGGCTTGTGATGCATCTGCAGCAGAAGGCATGAGACAAACCCCAGAAGTTCAGAACCCAACAACTCCTGGCCAGGAACTGAGTGAAAGCAAACCTCCTCTCTCATTCTGGCAAGGAGAAGGAATGTCAGAGTCCTTTACACACAGCACTAATTGGACCCTAGGCTTCTTATTGTCCTGAGGCTTGTAAGAATCATCATCCAAGCCAGCGACTTCTCCTTGGCTTAGCTTTGTATTTCTTGCTAGGAGTCAGTAGCTTTATTGGATTTTGTCTGTCCTGCCACACCCTGGTACTAAATTAGTGTGCTCACAAATCCTCCAGAGGCCATACCCATATGGCACAGACTTTTTGTCATAAATCCAATATATAAAGCAGCAGAGAGACAAGTGATGTTTCCAAATTTTGCACTCTCCGGTATCGAGTATCATTGAACCTCATATATCCATTATCTGGCAAAGGCTGAGTCATGCCCTTTACATCAGTGTGCTTTCATACTTAACTGAATCCATGATCTCATCATTGAAGGGACTTCTCTCATTGGTGCAAAGTATGACCAATCCATGCTTTTTCATCTTGAATGATTCTTGTCCATGAACTCCCACAAGTTTTCCGTAGAGGATCTATGCCACATACAAAAGGGCTTCTTCTACATCTTTTCACATTTCATGGATACTTATATAGCACTCTGGCTATTCATTTATTATCCTTCATTGCTGCTACATTCTAAAGTACATTTCTAAAGTATCTTTCTTACATGATATGCTTTTCAACCACTTCTTTTGCATAGGCCATCATTGGTAATATGCTGGGCACTATTTACTTCCATTACCAACAATTTTTATTTTTAGAGACTGTGTTGTTACAATATTTGTAGTCATGCAGAGTGACAAGGAAAATTTATGTTAAGATGTATATTTCTGTGTAAGACAGCTGTTCAGGATTATTTGATCTAGTTTAGATCAGAGTTTAACAAACAAAATTCATTCTACTTTTCTCCAAGGCATTTCTTGGTCTAGATCATTGCTCATCTTCAGCGTCTTTCCAAGATGTATATATTGATGGATGCACTCAATGAATTGTTTATTTAACTGCATAGGATAGTTAGGGAGATAGAATTTTTCATTCACTTTTTTTTCTTCTGTAAATTATTAGTCCGATCTCTTTTGAGTCACCATGGAACTCACTTCAGAGTCTTTGTGGGTATTTTCAGGCTTGGAGATGCTGAAAAATAGAATTATTCTGCTGGAAGAAAGAATGGCAGAAATAGCAGAGGAATCAAAAGGTAAAGTTGAGACACAACACAATTGGAAAAAATACTTTGAACTTTATAAGCAAAGATGATGGACTGACACAGCATTTATAGTGATGTCCTGAGAATTTTTAGATTTAGAAGAAATCTAAAGAATCTGATGACTTTCATAAAATTATATGAGAAAGTTTCTCAAAAATATTAAAATCGAAGGACAGGAAATAGATCAACAAAATCCACTGGATAGCCAAAAGGGATGAACCTAAGATGCAATTCACTCAAACATATCATTTTTATGCTTGGAGAATATAATGATAATGAGATTATTTTGAAGGTGACCAAGAAGAAAACATCGTAGTCAAAGCACACCACATCAAATTGCACATGATTTTTGCTTAAGATGAGTAATGAGAAAAAAAAACTAGAATAAGATATAGAGAATATCAGGGAAATAAAATTTTATCATATTAATTCCCCACAAAACTGAGCATATTAGATAGACAATCATTTAACATGTCTAAATACTTTCAGGAGTTTATGAAGAGATGATCTAATTTTAGAATGTTTTTTTTATGCAGCATTTTGTTTTCTTTTATTTTGTGACTGAATCTCCCAATCTCACTTAATCTAAAAGTGCAGCAGCCCTTCATGGTTCTGATCCCACTACGGATTGGCAGGGAAGCTCCATTTCCAACATAGATGGGTTTACCCCTCCTTAGGCAACATGGTGATCTCCCTCTCTCAGGAGTTTAACACAATTGGTATCAGTTTTAGTGTAGACACAGAATTAGCTTTAGCTCTACTACAGCTGAGCACTCTGGAGCTGTGACAGACCAGCCTTGGCCTCTTCTGCAGCAGGAGTTATAAGCGTGTACCACCCCTCCCAGCCGGTAGGAAATTCCACCAAGATGCAGAATATCAACCTAAATCCAAAGGACACTTGATAACCGTGATTCCTTGTAAATCCTGTCGAGGAAACATCAAGAATGTTGTTTAGATTTAACACTTTCCATTTGCACTCACGATGAAGTACAGCAAAGTGACAGAAGTGTTAGATGAACAAGCTGCTCGGTGTAAGCAGTGTAGAGGTACAGGGATGAAACGGCCTTCCCTGGCATAGGAACTTCTGGGGAGGAACTTCACCGGGGCAGACAGTACCTTTTCTGCAACTGACAGTTTAGAGAGTTTCCTGGGACACTAATAGGGTTAAGTGATTTTCTCAGGGTCTCACAGATAGTGTGTGTTAGAGCTATTGTTTTTTAGTAATAATCAAATTACCACAAATGGCCAAGAGGGAGAAAAATAAAATTTTTAATAGGTTGATTTTTTTAATGGGGCAAGGAATAATTTGGTTGTAGATAATCAGAGATAAAGAAAGATGGGGGGGAAACTGAGAGGAGTGAAATGAGCAGTGATGGCCATATACCATATACCACAATAAATTCCAAAACTAAATATTTTAAAAATGCATTATAAAAATCAAATGAAAATAGAATATTACATTTCTTGCAATTGTCAAGTGAACAATCTCAAACATTCATTACATAGACAATATTGAGACAAAATAGATGAATTTAATTACATAAAAAGAGGCTTTATTCAGTAAAAAATAATCCATCCAGAATAAGAAATAAGAGAAATAGATGCAAAGAAATAGATTAATATTAAAAAAAAACTTTGTTATAAACATTTCTGGTAAAACTGTGACACTCAAATCTAGAAAAAAATTTATTCATAAGATACATTCCACAGAAAGATAAATGGTTAAAGCATATAAATAGGCAGTTTTTGAAAGAGGAGGCACTCAAACTATGCAATCAGAGAAATGTAAATGATCTCCCCCTAACTTTCAGCACTCCCCTTCTATTGGATTTTCACCCATTATTTAAATTCTAACTAAAGCGCTACCTCCTCTAGGAAGTCTTCCCAGATCCCTCAAGCAGTAATGAGCATTCTCTTCTTAGCTCTTACTGGACACTTTGCTTATACAAGCATCCCTTCCACATCTCAACTTTCCTCATTGTGGTTTCAATATATCGCAGATTGACATAAGAAATTGAATGGGAATATTGGGGGAGTTTTGCAGAAGTCACAGGCAACATGCAAAGGCCAGTAGATGACACAGAAAATGTTTAGAAACTCAGAAATGCATAAAAGATATGCATACTATTATATATCGACATATTTTATCTTTTAATCCCGTAATAATTCAGACTTCTTCTCTGGTATGAAGGGAGGGCCAAAACATTTCACGTGGATTTTCCATCTCCTGGGAGGGCCATTGTTGTTGTGGAAGGGATGATTGTACCTCTCTAGTGCAATTATTGTGTTTTATACTTCAATCATTTATGTCACATCCTCCAATTAGATTGTAAACTCTGCAAAGACAAGGACTGTATCTTCTCTCTGACATGTAGGTTGTTGCCCAGCACTTCACAGAAAACACTCAGTATTCAATGTTAGAATACTTGGTGAATCAAATTCAACTGGAAGTCTGCTTTGTCCTGTGGACACTGCCTCTAGAGGCAGATCTTTACTGAGTCTAGTGAAGCAAGAGAAGCCCACGCCTACAAACCCATATACAAAGACATTTCGTCTGGACTTGTGCTCAGGATGGATATTGCCAAAGACAATGATGACATACATTTTGACTTTTATTAACAGGTATTGTAATCACCTCAGTGACTAATAATTGGTTGATAATAACTTTTAGTGAATGGGTTTTTTCCCCTGTGATATGAACAGTAATGAAGAATACCTGCTTCTGCAGATGCTTTTAAAATTTCTTTCAAACCTCATGTTTCTCTTGAAGAAGATGTCTAGGGGCAGCTAGATGGCACAGTGGATAGAGCACTGGCCCTGGAGTCAGGAGAATCTGAGTTCAAATGCAGCCTCAGATACTTGACTAGCTGTGTGACCCTAAGCAAGTCACTTAACCCCATTGCCTAGTAAAAAAAAAAAAAGGAAAGAAAAAAAAGATGTCTAAAGAACTTTTTAGGTAATCTGAAACACTCTAATGCATATTTAATCTTACTAATGCAGTAAAACCACATTCCTGTCATCCAAGAGCTCACTACTTCAACCAAGTTGCTCTGCTTATTGTGCCTTGAATGTATCTTTCATAAATCCTATCTCAATACCCTGGCATATCCCTTTCCCATAGCCTGGAATGCCTTTTACTTTGCTCTTTTGAATCTTCTCTGTTTTTTAAGGTCTAGTTTGAGTCATGTGTCTTTCATCAGGTCTTCCCTGATTCAAACCCATACTGCTTTTTCCATCTGTAAAATTCATCAGATGCACCTTTATATAGTTAGCAATCTTTTATTTTTTTCCTTAATAGTATTTTTTTCCAATTACACGTAAAGACAGTTTTCAACATTCATTTTTTAAAAATTTTGAGTTTCAAGTTTTTTTCTCCCCCCTCCCCAAGACAGTAAGCAATCTGATGTAGTTTATACATACAATAATGTTGAACATATTTCCACATTAGTCATGTTGTGAAAGAAGAATCAGAGAACAAAAGGGAAAACCACAAGAAAGAAAAAAAACAAAACACACAAAAAAGTGAAAATAGCATGCATCAATCTTCATTCAGACACATGGAGCAGAACCATTGTGCACAGCAATAGAACATTGTAGGATGACTAACTATGATAGGCTTAGCTCTTCTTAGCAATACAATGATCCAAGACAATTCCAAAAGACTCATGATGGAAAATGCTATCCACATCCAGAGAAAGAACTATGGAGTCTGAATGCAGATGGAAGCATACTATTTGCTCTCCTTTTCTTTTGCTGTTTTGTTTCATTTCTTCTTTCTCTTGGTTCTTCTCATTAGTTCTGATTCTTCTATACATCATGACTAATGTGAAAATATGCTTAATATGAATGGATAAATAGAGCCTATATCATATTGCATGCTATCTTGGGGAGGGGGAGGAGAGGGAGGGGAAATTAAAACTCAAAATCTTATAGAAGTGAATGTTGAAAATTAAAAATAAATCTTTTTTTTTAAAAAAGAAAATGCCAACCATGTTCAGAGAAAGAGCGATGGAATCTGAATCTGGATCGAAGCATACTATTTTCTATTTTTTTGGTGTGTTTTGTTTTTTCGTTCTTGTAGTTTTTTATTTTTATTCTGATTCTTCTTTTATACCCTTTGATCTCTTTGGGATATAAACCTAGTAGTGGTATTGATAGATCAAAGGGTGTGCAGAGTTTGGTTGCCCTTTGGGCATAGTTCCAAATTGTTCACCAGAATGGTTGGATTAGTTCACCACTCCACCAACAATGAAGTAGTGTTCTAGTCTTCCCAGATCTCCAACATTTATCATTTTCCTTTTCTGTCATATTTAGCCAATCTGATAGGTATGAGGTTTTAATTTACATTTCTCTAATCAGTAGTGATTTAGAGCATTTTTTCTTATGATTTTAGATAGCTTAAATTTCTTCATCTGAAAACTGCTTGTTTGTATCCTTTGACCATTTATCAATTGGGGAATGACTTGTATTCTTATAAAATTTATTCACTTCTCTACATATTTTAGAAACGAGGCCCTTATCAGAAACACTGGCTGTAAAAAATTGTTTCCCAGCTTTCTGGTAGCAATTTTTTAGACATAATTTTCTTATCATGCCAACTAGATTGTTAATTTCTTTGAAGAAAAAAATATTTATTTCTTTGTGTCCCCCGTGGGGCCCTGCTATAGTAGATATAGTAGTAATTATGTGTTGATTGAGTTCATATCATTCTGAAAGCTCGTTAGTTTGGCAGTTTTCTTTTATCTCTTTCTATGAATAAAACTAATTTATTAATGTGAGATGAGAAGAGGGAAGGTTATTTAAACTGCTTAAAAGAGTAGATTTTAAGTACTTTAAAAGCACCCATTTTTGTGAAAATACCTAAAGTGTTCATTGCAAATCATTTTCATTTAAACCCATTAAAGACATGTCCTCTAAAAACCTCTACTTGGCAATGCTTTGTTAACTTAGCTTGAGTTCCTGTACACAATTGAAAATAATAAAACTTTTTT